TCCTTTAGTGGAATCTATGGATTGGAAAATATGATAAATTTATAAATTTTTTTTTTTAAATATTTTCAACCCCCTTTTTTTTTTTTTTTTCTAAAGTTTGCATCAAAATCATCTCTTAAGTTAATTTTTTGAAGTTTTAAACAATTTGAAATGAAAAAAAAAAATTAATAATAATAAAAAAAAAGGAAGCTAATGCCTTCCAAACTCTTATGTCCACTTTATTCCATTGAACATAAGAAGCATAAAAGCATTCACTAGAACATCATGCTTAGCAAGATGGTTGATTAAATTTATTTTAATATAATTATTAAAATAATGGGCTTAGAAAATAAAATAGCAAATCTTACATACATGCCACAAAATTATTATGTATTTACGTATCCAACACCTAAAATTTAATATTTATATTTATAACACTCTGCTGTTATAAATCTACGCATAAGAAAATTATATTTCACTTTAAATTATATGTAAATATGAAAATTATAATGCAAGATATATACATTTATAAGAATTGTGCGGTATGTATATATTTACACTTAGAAACAAAGTTTGCAATAACTCTATCTGTGAAAGGGTTGGTGTAGCTCCAGTGGCAGACAAAATTAGATGGATTCGTCTGAGATGATTTTTTCACATTCAACGTCCACCATCTGATGATACGATTAGGAGAGCAGATGTTCTGGTTCCGACTTATGTTAAGAGAGATGGATGTAGACCTAAAAAGATTTGGACATATTTTATAAAAAAAATGGTCTTAATCTATTAGAATTAAATGAAAATATAACACAATAGGCCAAAATGAAGAAAAAAAGGATTCATGTAGACGACTCCATTTAGTAGGATAAAGACTTGTTGTTGTTGTTGTTGTTGTTGTTGTTGTGTGTGTCTATATTATGATAAAAAGAATAACCAGAGACTATTATATGAGTCCTCAACTGCCCCTAATCTGTCTAACAATTCAAATACCACATTCTATAAAACGACCATCGCCATAGGGGATTGAAACCCTCGACCTCAGGGTACTTATAAGCTAAAATGTGTAGCCTATCTTGACTCTTTGATTGTCAGAGTTTGTAAGACTCATGAGATTACTGGTTCAATCTCCTCTATGTGCGAGATGAAATTCTTAGGCATATGAGGTTGATCGGGAGGCTCGTATATATATATATATATATATATATATATATATATATATAT